CAAGCTAAGAAATTAACAATAAAACTGGTCTCTATAGAAGTAAAGATGAAACTACTATGTCATAGCTCCTTTCACAGTGCATGGCAACCAGACAATTCTTGCTGAAAATATGTTCGTAGTAATAATTTACATATAAAGGGAGGAGGTAACCAACTTCCATGGGGAAAGATATATAGGAAGGTAGGTAGGCAGGCTGGCAGGTAGGTAGGTAGTAGATTATGTATATAGAGAAATCACGTACTATCAAATGTTAATGTCATCCAGAAACCTTCTCACAAATAAAGCAAGAATCATGTTTGACCAAATACCTGTGCATCCCTGGCACAGTCAAGTTGACGGGATAAAATTAAATATCAAGAGACTAACAACTGGAGACCTGTCTTAGAAACAAGATGATTGAACAAAAATAGTAGGCACAGTAGCATGAAGGCTGGTGGGAACCAGAGGCTTCCTAATAGGAATGAGTGCTTTCTAAATTCCTTATGTGCAGAATGATGAAGATTAGATATTGATTCTGTTTAAAAATTTTTTTGAGAGGACTACTAAAGCAAAACTTGTAGAGTATATTACTTTCGAGGGAATTAAGGGAGAAAGGGTGAATAAAAATTAACTAAAAGTAGAAAAGAAAAAAGAGGAAGAAAGAATATGTAGAAGAATGTAAAAAATAAAAACAAAGATAAGTCTGAATGTGTCAGTCACAATGAATATAAATAGATTAAAGTCATTTCTTAAAAAGTAGAGTTTTCTAATTGGATTTTAGTAAATCTCAGTGAATGCTGTTTTAAGAGTCATACCTCAGACATGTTGACAATAAATTTTAAGATAAAGAATCAAAACATCAGATGTATGAGGCAGATACTATCCAAAAGAAAAGTGGTGAAGAGTATTACCACTTGGTAACATCAAATTTAAGAAAAAGTTTTATTAGAGTCATGATTTACTACCAGTAGGTATACTTACCAAGAATTATATGTATAACAGTCAAAATCTAGCCTCCAAATAGAGAAAGCAAGTATTGGGAGAATTATAAGGAGAGATTGACAAATCCAGAATAGGAGCAGATGATTGTTTCATATCTAGTTTGGAAAAATAAGGATGCAGAAGATTTGAATAATACAATTAAAACTCTTTACCTACTAGACATATGAACTTTATATCTCAAAAATAGAAATTTCAATTGTTTAAAAACATGTTTCTAAAAATCTGTTACATTAAAAAAAACACAGAGGAAGCCAAACACACACTCCATATTGATATAAACATCACAAATTAGAATGGCAAAAATTTAAATGTTTTTAAGTAATTTGTGGATCAAAGATGAAATAATAATGGAAGCTAAAAATATTTGTAAATAAGTGACAAACTTATAGCATGTAGTTAAAGCAAAATTTATAGGAAAAAATTATAGTCTTAAAAATGTTAAAGAATTGCACATTACTATGAAAATAGTAACAAAAAGATAAGGTACTCAACTCAAAGTAGAAAACAGGACATAATTATAAGAAAAGATAAATTAAATGGCATTAAAAGAAATGGCACAGTAGAAATAATCAACAAAGCCAAATTTTGATTTCCTGAAAATGCTAGTAAAATAAATCCACCTTCTAGCAAGACTAATTTTAAAAAAAAGTTTATGCTATATTAGACCATCTAAAGTAAATTGATTGCAGATCTGGAAGTTAGATTGGGGTGGTGGATGCATGTTTGTAGTTGTTCATATTAGAAGTATTTCACAATGAAAACATGTAATCTTAGGCATTGTGCTTTAGTCCATGCATTAGCCTGTCTTCTGTAGCGTGATTTAACAGATACCACTTCTTTTCTCATGGATCTAATTCCAAGTGACTCACATTTTCTTCTTTGTATATCCTTGTTAGAAATGAGAAATAGAGTCAGTTGAAGCAGTATCAGGGCAAAAGTGTGAAAGCAATAGAATGAGTACTTCTAGCGAAAGCTAGGGAGAACAGGACTCTTGTCCCTATGTGGTCAAAAAAAAAACTGAACGCAAATTGACAAACAGCCTAGGGACAGGGACCATGAAAGGCATCCACTCAAAGATTGTTAGTAATTTATTAAGTTACCTTAAATGCTATAATCACTTCCTACAGATGGAGACACTGGAGTTGAGAGTCTGCCTTTACTTTTCTGGTAGATGTTATTGTTCATCCCTTTGAGATGGCAATTCCTAAACTTCAGAATATGTGAGTAAAAGTATGTTTGTGTTTTCTGGCCAGGTCTGAGACACAGGCATTGTTTTGTGAAGACTGAATGGAAACAGCCACATGTGGAAGGCAGGCCAGCATTGGGTCTGCAGCAGAGTCCTGGACTTTGTAGTAGAGCTTTCTCTCTTGCTCTAAAAAATGCCAGGTTGGAAAGAAGAAAAAAGACTTGTTATTAAATTTAAAATGTATATGTACTTAATATGTAGTTTTTACCATTCCATTTAAAACAACTAACTTTCTTTGGAATAGTATCCTACTCAGTGAATTCGAACTATTTTTTGAAAATTTATTGGTTATAATTCTTATTCCTGATAAGCACACTGTTTTAAATTTGTATTGTGAGGAAAATTATGTCATCAGTTTCTTTTATCTTTTGATAGTTCCTTTTCTTCCCTCAAAACAAATGACCCAATAATTTTATGTCCTAGGATAATATCCCTAGTCTTTTTTAAAAAGAGCTTTAGTTTAAAGATTTTAGCAATGAATTTGCATATAATTTGGCATGAGGTCAGTAATTTTCCATAAGATAGCACTTCAGAACATGCTGTCTAACCATTAAAATATCAGTAATCTTTTCCTCATATGATGTGAGAGTTTGCAGTGGAGCACCTCAGCCACAATTACGAATATTTGGAGAAGGGGCTAGTATTTCCTTGAGACCCTTGAGTAGCCTCAGAGAAGGTAACCAAATGTGTGAACAATTGCTTTGATCTCCTCCAAAAGGCCAGGCCTTAGAATTAGGTTGGAGAAATGAGGCATGTTTTCCAAGCACATTATTATCTCTTTAATACTATTGCTGCCATAATGTGTTCCTTTGTAAGATGATGATTTGCTGCTTCATATGCTCAATATTTGTACCACTTATCAATGGTAATTTCTTTTCGAAGTAATTAGGTACAGCCTAAGTTTTCAGATACAAATGCATAAGTGTGATTTGTTTCTCAGTATTACTTAAATTTAACAATATGGTATTTAGCTCCTTTCTCCAGAGACTCACACTGGAACCCTTTTTGTTGGATTGAATAATATCATCACTTCCTATAGGTGAAGACACGAGTTGTGTCTGCATTACCTGCCTAGGTTGGGGAGTTGGAAGTAGAGATAGGGCTTGGTAGGATGACTGGTGTGGCTCTCTTTGTGATTCGATATGGCCTCTCTTAAGTGCGGAGCAAGCACATGTTTACAAATGATTCTTAAGTACACAAGTGTTCCTGTAAGTATGCAGTCATGTAATTAACAGTAGGCAATAACTTAAATAATTTTACTTGATTTTTTTGAAGACTCAGTGCTGTGCTTATGTAAGATGTAAATTTCCTTATTTCTTTCCACAGTATTTACTAGCCTTTATTATATCTATTAGTGTTCCTATGTCAGGGAACTTGATAAAGAAAATGTTAGAACAAAAATCAGCTCAGAATTTAAGTGATGGAGATCTGTGATCTGTGTTCATTTTTTTAACTAGATACTTATACAACATGTTTTTCAGTTTGTGCTCGTGTGGGTCAGATCCTAAGCCATTTTGTTAAATATTTGGGAAAGATGCCTCTGTAAGACTTTGCTAGAATTGATTGTTAGCTTGTTTAGAAACTTGTCTTCCTCCCATATAGTAAGAGGAACTCTGGCCACCTGGGCTGCTACATGCCCACTGTGAGCAAGTGACAAGGTCTCTGACCTTGCTTTTCAAAGGATATCACCTCACATAACATTCTTCACTAGATACCTTTCTTAATGCTTTGCTGTATATCCCTGGGAGTCCAGGATAATTTTCAAGTGAATGAGGCATATTTTAGGTGGAAAATTTGTGTATGTATAAAATGTATACACACAAGGTGGATACTCTGTAGCCATAGACTCTGTATCCATGAATTCAAGCAATCACCAATGAAAATATGTGAAGTAAAAAATTGCATCTTTGCTGTGCATTTTTTCTTGTCATTATTTCCTAAACAATACAGTAAAACAACTATTTACGTAGAATTTACATTGTATTAGATATTATGTGTAATTTAGAAATGAATTAAAGTATATGGGAGAATGTGCATAGGTTATATGCAAATACTATGTGGTTTTGTATAAGGGACTTGAGCATCTGTGGAATTTGGTATCCATCAGGGGATCTTGGAACCAATCCCTGAGAGAATCAAGAAACAACTATATATACATGTATATACACATACCCCCAATTTTTTTTTCTTATTTAAAATTCCCTCAACGGTCAACTAGTGTCATCAACTTTACTACTCTGTGGGATGTATGTAACATCTTACAGCAATTGATGAGAATTATTTTGAAAAGGTTTAATATTCAGAGATAGCTGAAATTTATTTTTATTGACACCATTGAAGTCTTTAAGTCTGACCTGCCTTTACTAAGCTTTACATGTGCATATGCTTGGTTATAAAATACCTACCCGTAAAAGGTAAATATTTTCTTTTGTTTTTGTTTTGCTTTTTAATTTTTGTTGTTGTTGTTGTTTTTTTTTCATCAAGTGGGCTTTTCCAAAGCTAATTTATCTTCAAAGAGACATATGCTTTAGGTCTGTACTTGTTCGTTTACCTTGGAAAAATTAGGTCATCATCAAATCTGGCGATGTGGCTTATAAACTTGGCAACATGGTCTAATTAAAAACTTCCCTTATATTAAAAAAAAGGGAAAATGATTATAATGAGTAATGTTTTTGTTTTCATGGTTTGTGTGTATGTAGGTATTTGTCACTTCTCATGTTGCATTGAAAGTATGTTGACTGTCTGCTAATAGTTCATCTCTTTTCTTCTACAGCTTCCAAGTCTGTTATAAATAGTATGCTACGGGACCCTTCTCAGATTCCAGATGGAGTTCTAGCAAATCAGGTCTATCAGGTATTAATCACAGCTGTCTATTTTCAGTGGCAATGCTGTTATCTGCCTAGCAGAGTAAAGGATTTTAAACCTCATTTAATTACTGTCATCATAAACTATCACTGAGGTCAGGGTGCACCATAAATGGCAATGCAATATTTGTGAGAAGAGCATTTCACTTTTTAATAGCTTGCTTTTATAGTAAATAAAAAGCATGCAATTTTTGTTTTCTGTGATTAAATCTGAACAGCCTTTTGATAGCATTCTTTTTTGGGGATGGGGGAAAGAGAAGTAATTACTGCTTTTAGGATGTTTACTGTAATAGTTTTTGTAGTCTCCCCCGCCCCACTGAACCCCCACCCCACTCCACACACACATACCCCTTCTCTTATTTGTCTGCAGTGCATTGTGAACGACTGCTGTTATGGACCACTGGTGGACTGCATCAAACAGTATCCTTTCCCATAAAATTTTAGGTGCACAATTGACGAGCTTAGACTCAGTGGAAGAGATGTGTCTAGCTTTAACCTGACATAAAGTTCTGCTTCACAAAACACATTTCATACTCTTTTATATTCAATCAGCTGGAGGGTCATTGCAGACCATTCTTTCCTACAGCTTAAGGGAAACCAGATAGGCCCCAGGAAGGTGTCAGTTCAGCAGTTGCACTCACATGCTGATTTCAAACTGCTTGGTTTTCAATGAGTTTAAAGGTACAGAGTCATTAGGCAGGTAACATACTGTCTTGGAATGTAGCTAACCATTCCTGTGAACATTTTTTTAAAATATAACAAAGTTCCATTGAAAAGGAGCCAAATTCTGTAGAGTTTACTAAAATAAATTTTGAGCCTTGAGTTAAAGGATGATGTTATTTATATGTTGCTGGAGACCATCACATTTTAAAGGGCAGTAGACTCTTATTGCTTAAATGCTGATTACTATCTGAGCTGTCATTTGGATCCCTAATAAACATTTTTAGAGAAACCATGCTAATTTTTCCCTGGGGACTGAATTTAAGGCTGTGAAAACAGATGTCTAGTCATTCTTCATTAAAAACATTGAGATTTCTAAAGAGTTAGTGTTTACTTCTCAAAGTAGGATTGGGTGGATGATAACCGTTTCATGAACCAGGACATTACTAATTAATGTTTTGGTAGTCTTGTAGCAACAGTGAGAATTTTGGTAATTTTTGACTAAAAATACTATTTAAATGCTCATAATTTTAATGGAAATATCTCAGTCTATGAGTCTTATACCTCTTACTATAAACATGGCTTTCATTAGATTTTGTTAGCATTGGTGGCACCATTACCAGTGTGACTGAGTGATTACTAGTCAGGGGTTTTGTTGGAAGCTCTTGCAAGTTAAATGTGTTCACATGCATCTGTGTGCATGCGTGTGTTTTTGTGTGTGTATGTGTATGTGTGTGTGTGTGTGTGTGTGTGTATTTATATTCCTCCTTGTTTCACAAAGGCTTAGAGTCAGTAAAACTATGATAAGAAAATTCTTTCTTTCCTAAATTAAGATTTGAAAGTAATCTTTTTTAACAGGGCCCTCTTACAAGAATATTTAATACCTAACATATAGCCTCTCATTCATATGTGTATTTATATGTGTGGGGGGGAGTGGGTGTGTGTGTGTGTATATATATATATATACACACACACACACACACACTTGCCTTTTTATTTAACTAAAGTGAAACTATATTTCTATTTTGAGTGTGATATTAATGTAGTGTTAGAAATTGTAGGAGTGCCAACCTCATGTTGCTGTAGTGATAAAGCTTAGCACATTCGTAAAACAACTCACACCGTCTGAGAGTATCTGGGGCTGAATTACATGTTAATTTTAAAGCACATAAAATAGTTAAAAATCAATTTAAAGTTAAGGTTTTAAAAGCATAATGTCTTTTGAAGGATTGCATATTGATTTTAAATATAACTATCTAATTATATATGCATGGACTAAAGTATGAAGTCAACTGCTTTGTAAATGCCAGGAGGCTATTTTTCAGTAATAGTTGAGATGCTTACGGGAAACTAGATTGCTGTATTGCTGGCGAAGAAAATGGCTTGTGAGGTTATTTACAAGTTTTGCCCCATGGTCACTGCCATACATCAATAATAGGTATTCTTATAGACAAAGTCTAAGTGTTTCTGCTTATGGAACATTATAAATTCTGCTTGGAGTATTTTCCTTATGTTTTTGCTATCATTCACTTTCCTTTTTGGGCTGTGTTATTGCCAGTAGAAGTTAATGTAGTACGTGATTTCAATTGATAAAGATAATGATGTATGTCTATAAGTTGCATTCATCAACTAGATTATTATTTTGCAGTTCCATTATGCCTGTTGTCAGTAAAATTACTATTTTTATAAGGTTTATTTTCTAGACCTTCCATTTTATATATGTTTATATCAAGCAATGCATAATCAAGAAGTATGTCTTTCCAAAATTTCAAATTGGTGATTGCTTTTACTATTGCAAAATAAAACAGGCCTAGGAAATTTATAGAGAAACTGATTTTATTGTTGCATTGAAGTAGTAGCAATTTCATGTAATGTGAATATGCTTGCTAAGATGTCTTCTAGATGGATCAACAGAAGTACTTTATTTCACACTGAATAAGAATTATTAGTTTTCCATGTGAGTGAAAAATGCTTTTATTTGTTATTCTTATAAGTTGGTAATGTTTACAGTACTTATTTTCAGTAAATTACTTCGTTTTCCAACAGAGAAAGTACATATTTGGTAAAAGGAATAGGTGTAAAATCTTCTTATTCCATTATGAAAATGTTATATGTGAACGTTTGTGTAAATAGAATAAAGTACCTTGGTCATTGACTAATAAGACACCATGGAAGGGATAGTAGCAGTGAGTGTATGCATTGACATTGTGCTTTCTCTTTCTGTCTCCCTTATTTTGGGAGGATGTGCCTGCTGTTTTTTTCCTAGCTAGCCATGCCCACCCACACCTTTCCTACCGTATCTCAACTCACCAAGGAAAACATGTGAGAAGGTAACCACTTCAACTTTCCAAAGTGTGACTCCAGACCCCACTAACAGATAGAGGACTGCATAGAGATGCAAGAAAATATAATGATGCAGGAAGCCTCAAGTGCTGTGGGTTTCATTTCTGTACCATCAGTAACCTCAGTTTCATGATTCAACATTTTAGATGTAAATAATTTACAACAATCAAAGTGGGAGCGCATTTATGTGGAATAGAAGTAAATAATTTAGTTCTAAAATGTGGGATGCCCATGGTAACGAGAGAGTGTTGAGAGTTATTCATCAAATGTTTTCAGTGGCCTCTGAAAATGTGTTAGATTTTGTGATTTAAAAATTTGTTCCTTTTATTTCCAATTAGAAATTCAAGAAGCATAGCCATGTCCCAAGGCAAAGGATAAAACAACAGGAAGAAAAAAGCATAAATGAAGACTTAGGGCTTGCCTTGATGGTGGACATAAATGACCACAGTTTCTGAATTATACGATTTAAATGATACCCATATATGTTGGTAAAAGGCAAGATAATTCTCTAGGAATTATTTTTTACAAGTGAAGTATAACTTTTCTTTGATTTACATTGAAATGAATTCTTGCAGCCTATGGTCAGAACAGTAGTCTCTGGTAAACCAAGGTGTGATAGAACCAGATTGATGTAACCAGCAAAACATAGAGTATGACAGTAATGATTCAGAGAATGATTGCCAGATGCTTTCAACTGAAATTAGTACCAGCATAGGCTAAGACTCCTTTTCAGATTTTGTTCACTCTCATCACTTTGGAAAACAGACCAGACTTCCAAGTCCTGCTTCCTGATTTCATTATTTATCAGCCTTGGGGCCTTCAACAAGTTCCTCAGCCATTTTGAACCTTACCTTTTCTTAAGTGTAAAAATGAGACTAATAATAGCATCTACTCATGTGGTTGTTGTGAAGATTAAATAAAATTATATCTGAAAGTGCTTATCTTTTTTTTTTAAAGAGAGAGAGAGAGAGAGAATTTTTAAATATTTATTTTCTAGTTTTCGGCGAATACAACATCTTTGTTTGTATGTGGTGCTGAGGATCGAACCTGGGCCGCACGCATGCCAGGCAAGCGCGCCACCGCTTGAGCCACATCCCCAGCCCTGAAAGTGCTTATCATACATGATATTTAAGAAATACTAGCAGCTATGAATCTTTGCATAATCTTAATACTTTCTAAGAAGCTATATGGAGCTATAAACTAGCTTTTCAAAGATCTCATTTTCATTCTTTGCCATGTTTTAACTGGCCTTGTGCAGGTTCATTTCTCAGTCTGTTTCCTCATCTATAAAATAAAACTTATAATAATTGTGAGGATGAAACAACATATACATAAATCACTTACTTCAGTGCCTGCCACCTAGGAAGCACTAAAACAATTTGTATGTTCATGTCTGTATCTATGTATGTACACATATATGATACACACTCACACACACATATATACACATGAGAAAAAGATTTTTGAAAGCCTCTAAATGCATACTCACCCACAGTCATCTCCTAAAATATCTACTCCATAGAGTCTCATTAAGTCAGTTGTTTGGCTTCTCTAGTCACAGGGAATCACCAACAATTGAAGGGAAACAAAACAGACTACTAAATGCTGGCTTAGTGACACATGTGAATTCTTAAGATTTACAGAGCACAGTAAGATTGGAACCATTTTTAGGGAAAACCAGGTTAATATTCTTAACTGCACTAAGTAAGTGCTTAATTAATGTGTTCTAAATTGAAGTGGGGAATAACACAGATTAATGGACATGTTAAATGATTTTCCCTCTTTTTAAAAGAATTTAAAATTATACCCACTTATAAATCTTTGCCAAAATATAAAAACAGAAAAATTCCTTTGGATCATTTAAATGGGGGGGGGGTAAATAAGAAGAAATATCATTCCTCAGAGATGTGGGCTACAGATGGAAATTGTTATAATTACCTCTCTTCTTCATTTCATCTCAAAGTATGTACCTGGTATTAGCATTTTCCCGATGGTCTAAATCTGCCTATGTTATCCTCTTTAACTAAAACTTCCCAGTGCCATTGGTCATGAGCATGAAGTACTGCTGAGAGACTTGCTTCTAGAGAAAAACCTGTCCTTCCTAGGTAAGTATTTCTCACATCCTCTCTAGTTTGTAATAGCTCCATGAGTACTTAAATACATATTTTTAAAATCTTCCACCTGCAGTTATTATGTACTAAAGGAAGAGAGAATGATGATTGATGCTCTGCATGTTATCTTTTATTGATTTAGAACTGAGCAGGAACTCAGTTACCTAATCCCCTATATAAACAGCACATGCACAGGCTTACAATTAATATTTTATAGAATAAGTGGCTGAAAAATGCTTTAATATCTGTTGCAGTATTACTTTTGGTGCCATGAGATATTAACCATAATCTAGGCCTTATGAGAGAAACAAAAGAAATATTGTCTATAAAATACTTTATATATTAAAAAGAACCGTTAGAGAAATTCATGTTAGGTATGAGTGTGTGTCATGTATGGAATAGGGTAGTCCCTTTTATTTGAAAGCAGAATATTAAGCTTTTATTATTTTATGTCAAACATTGTCATCATAGATTTAGTATGATTTTCTAAAATCTTACATGTATGCATGTGTTTGTGTGTCAGTATAGAAATATTATTACAGATTGTTATTTTTTTCAATATCTTTTAAGCAGTAAAAAATTAAGCCTTAAAGGACATAATGTAATCACTGATTATGGAAACCCATAAGCACCCTACAATTAATTAATTCCTCTTTTCCATTCTAAATGTGGTAATTTAAATTCTCCATTTTAAATGCAAAGGATCTATACAAATCATATTATTATACAAATTTATTCTATGTAAACCTGTGTAAATATTGAAGCATATTCATAATGTAGTTTTTAGGATCAAATAATGAAGAACAACTGGATTACTTAATTTTTGTTCTGACGTGGACAATACATTGTGTGCCTAGGAAAGTCAAATGCATGGTCTTAGGTCAGATTAGGAAAGGATGTTTAGTATAATCCTTCAGTAAATTTACTGGAAATCTTACTGTTTAGTATTCTTATTAATAAACTGGAGAATAGACTTGAAATTGTTATAGGATTGTTGATAAGTTGAAATTGAGAGATAATAAATGTTCTCTAGTTGGGGTTAAAGAAAGTTGATTACAAAAGTGGTGTCTCTGCTTATTACATTAAATTTCATTATGTATAAGCAACAAGTTTTTTTTTTCTTTGTGTAAGAAAGGCAATTGTATTGGTTGGCCTATGGAAATAGAGTAAGTTGGAAAGAAATTATCTTTTAAAAACATAACAAAAAATAAAATGGCTCTGAACTAGTTGTAATGGTTGCCCATAACATATCATAAGATTATTTCAGAACTATAGAATTCTGATAGTATTATAAAATGTCTGACCACATTGATCATTAGGTAGTGGCTAGTATGGACATGGCCAAATCTAGTGTTTTGTTTTAAGCCACTAACTAAGCAGTCATATTTCACACAGATTTTTGAATCTTCATGTTTTAACCATAAATGTTAGCTTACTACTACATTACAGCATTTAATATGTATAGAATAAATTAATATTGTATGCTGATGAAAAAGCACTTTAAAATAGAACTGAGGTTACATGGAGTTACTGAGCAAAGCAACCAAGGTTGCTTTGGTGGTAATCTCTTTGTGTCACTTGTTTGCCTATGGCCAGTCAAGCCCTCAGCCTCATTTCTTTATTTAACCTGACTTCTGTGCTCTTGAGAATCAGCAGACCCCACCTAGGAGAAAGAGCAAAGGGCTTAGTTGTGGCCCTAATTTAGTTCTAGTTTCTCAACTTACCTGAATTTGGTGTTTTAGCTTGGATTCACCATGGCTGACGGGCAGTATGAAAGTATGGTGGTCAAAGAGTTATTGCTATGTGCATATAAGTTCAGGAAGGACTCCTAGAGTTGAAATTGATGGGTCTCATGCATTCTTCAGTGCTGTGGGATAATTATTTTATGGAAGTATATCCAAAATGGTACTTAACTGATCTTTAAGAATAAATGGTTCTAGTTTAGCCAAAACCATGAAACCCTAGTGCAATTTTGAAGTGTTTCCTCATCAGCTTACAAAATAGTTATTAATTTATTCTGTGCATCTTAAGTATTTTAATATAGTATTGAACTAACACATGCTCATTTATGGTTAAAAGATGAAAATTCAAAGCCTTGGGTGAAATATTGGTACAAAATTGTTTTTCTTTTACCTTCTAAATACCCCTTCCCAATGATTAATTTGTTTTAAATACTGTGTCAGGTAAATTTAAATACATTATCATTTTAAATTCAGCTAATATTCTTTCTTGTTTACATGTATACACCTTGAATTTTGTTGCAGAGATACTGCAAATATTGCCAGTTTTATTTTGATTCTTTGACAAGCAAAAGTAAAATCGATCTCCCTCTCTCTGTTGACTTCTAACTCCTGCCACTTTCAAAAGATAAATATTTTTTATATGTTAATCCTTTTTAATTTAAGGATTATTACTTTGCCTAAAACCTAAATTTTCCACCCATTATATTTTGTCAAACCTCTTTTGACAATAGAAGGGGAAAAAGAAAAATAATCACTTTTTTTTAGTCTTACTGCTTTCTGGAGTTTCCTTGTTTCGTGGTCCGGTGGTCAGGAGTTGCTATGGCACAAACCTTAACCAGACACCTAGAAAAGACAGTATGCTGATCATTGAAAATTTCTGTATATTCATGTGGATTTATTCTATCTTATAAAGGTATCCATTTAATACTTAGATAAATAGGTATATTGTACTAAATTCAAAGTTGAATAAAAGTCTTTAATTTTTCCAACTAAGAACTATCCCCCCCCCCCCCGCCCCACACACACACTCTGCAAATAAGTCACTGAACTGGGCACACTATTGTAGGCACTAGACACAAGTCAGATAAAGTTCTGGCTTTCTCAGAGATTTGATCTAGTAAGGAAACAAGCTACCAATAAATGAATACAGATAATTTCTTGAAATTCCTGAAAGTCCTCATAGTTCTTTTATTCATTGTTTATTCTTTTCAACTAACATTTTTTGAATGTGCTGTCTACATGCTAGGAACTATAGGAGTTAATATGAAGATGGTCTTTGTTAAGTACCCTATGTCCCAGATGTTCACAGCTGTGCAAGCTCTCACCATTTCTGTCCCAGTGAGAGTGCAATTCCTATCTGGTGCAATTCACTTAGCTGTTGTTCACCTGATTTTCTTCATAATGAAAGTAAATGCACTTATGACTTTTGTCAGACTACTTTTATTAAACCTTAGAAAGAAAGAGTAGATATTAAAAATCACTAGCTACATTTTGTAAGTGAAGAAAATTTGCTGCCGCATTAAATATATTTACTAAAATGGTTATAAAATTGTGCATATTCAGCTGTTCTCTCATCAGGATCTTCCTGCCACCATTTACTTCCAGGATGGCACATTGAATTTTTTAGCTTGATCCTCTAGCATTGAGCTAACCTATCTCTTAAGTATTTGCTATGAGTGAATACTATTAAGGATTTAAAAAAAAAAATTAACAGTTGAATCAAACATGGAAATTTCCAGGAAAGTTTTAAGTATATGTCAGTAGTTCTCTCCAGGGACATTTAATTTAGAATTAACATTTATTGGTCAGCATTTAAGGTCTCAGAAGATGTCAAGAGCTTTAGACGCAAAGAACACTTTTTAAACTTTAAATTGACCTATATGCATTGTGATCATCCTTATCACGTCTGCTAAGGAGCCACTCCATTTCTAATGAAAAAAATAGAGAATATATTTTATCTACTGAGGGAGATATTTTAATTTGTATCTTTCCAATGATTAATTAACACTTTGCTGTGTTGTGTTCGTTCTTTAGTTTTCTCTTCTCTTTGTTTGGTTTGGCTTGGTTTTCACTGAGTTTTTTTAAGAAAGTTGGACAAAAAGGGAAGGGAGGAAAGGACAATAGTGTCAATGATAAGAGGATGAAACTGTTCACACTGTTGGAAAAATATGAAAGCACTTACACCAAAGAGGGAAGATAAACCACTCATCTTCCATGGGTTGGCATTCCTCCAGGTCAGAGGGACTTTTATTAATGACTTCTACAGCCACTGTCTGCTGCAAATTCTTGTTAAGTTTGGCTTAATAAGGATGACTCTAGAGATATTTTATTATTTCCAGTGAATGTTGTCCTGTTAGTAGACACTAACAATTATTTTGAGTGACACCTGAGAGGCCTTGGCTTTATCCCTGCACTACACCCCCCACCATGTTTGGACGAAATAGCGTTTTGACATGGGTGCTTTTCTAACATTCATGTATTACTCTGTGGGACTCCAGGAGGGTATAATCTGTAAAGTCAAATAGGCTTAGTGAAGAATGTCCCTTGCTGTAAGAAATTAGGATCTTTGTTTCTAAGAGTTCATCTGTCCCACTGCTTTATTCCCTACTACCTAAAACAACAGTGCTCTGTTGGGAAAGTGATTATTATGTGACAAACAGGATTACATTCTTCAGGTGAAGAACAGCAGCAGGAGCAAATGAGATTTAGGATACTAAGGTTGTTTACATGCAGATGTTAGCAGCATAGAATAAGAGGCTGGAAAGAAAACATTTGATTATATAAGTTGAGGGGAACTGAGATAGTTGGGTATTTCATAAGGAGTCAGTCATTTAAATTTTTATCTATCAGAAGATTAAAAATAAGATGTGGTTTTTAGAATAACATCCTGTTGTTGTTAGGATACATGCAGTTATTAATAAGAACATGCAATAGGGGCACAGATATGGGGAATTTGGATGTTGTTCCCACCTGAAGAAATTGTCTTGGTGAGAGACTCTCTTACTTATTTTCCTTATCAGTTTCACTTGTGATTGCCTCTCCCTGGGACTGAGAGATCCCTGGGAACCATAGACTTCTTGTTGCTGCTGGCAGATGAAATGCTCTCTGGAACTTTGAAGGAAAGTTATCATGTGCAATTAAAATGGTATTCTACCTGCTCCTGGCCTACAGCCTTTCCTTCACCATTGCTTTGGTTAGATAACTTAGGTCTGCTAAGCGTCTGATTTCCTGATCACTAATAATTTGTTGGAA